TTCACAAAGTTGAGGGAAGTAATTGGGAATGTCGAGAACCTTGCATTCGTAGCCGATTGAGGGTAGTCAATAATTAACAGTATCACCGAAGTCTTCCCTGAGGCACATCATGGTTACTGTATGTACCATATACAGGGAAATCTGAAGACTAAGTATCGAGGAAAAGGTATCATTACGTTGTTTAGGAGAGCTGCAGAGGCTTACAGTTTTCAAGGGTTTGAAAAGTTTATGGTTGATATAGAAAGTAAATCCTATGATGCATGGGAGTATCTGACAGAGATGGGGATCAAACATTGGGCACGATCACATTTTCCAGGACGGTGATACAACATGATGACGTGGAACAATGCGGAGTCCCTCAATGCCTTATTTAAGAAGGATCGAGAGTTACCAATTCTCCCAATGTTTGAGAACATTCGTGACAAGCTGCAATAGTGGTTTCATGATCGTCGTGAGGAATCACAGAGTTGCACAAGTGTGCTAACCCCGGCTCAAGAAGATAAACTCTTCAAGACTTTAGAGGTGGCAAGGAAGGTATATGTAGAACCACTAGATCAGTTTCGCATCTCCACAAGATGTGCACGTAATTTCGAATACATCGTCGACTTGAATGATAACACGTGCACGTGTAGACAGTTTCAGTTGGAGAGTTTTTCGTGTACACATGCAGTGGCGATGACTATGTATAGATGAATTCCACCACACACCTTATGCAGTGCTTATTACACGACTGGTTCTTGGAGAGCAGCATATGCCGAAACCATATTTTCTGTACCGAATGAAACCGAGTGGGAAGTTCCCGATCACATTCTCTCATTGAATAACTTGTTGCCACTAGCAGTCGGCCCACATACTCCTGGACGTACACGTACATCTAGAATACTATCGATCGGAGATTTTTCCCGGCCTCGTAAGTGCGGCAGGTGCGGTGCAACAGGACATACTAGAATATTTTGTACAAGTCAGATCCCTCTGCATGACAACGTAACAGATGTATAATTGAAGTTTTTGTACAAGTTAGATCCTTCTTAATGTTAATTATTAGATTTAGTTTTTTTATTTTAATATTTCATTAATTAGTTTCGCAATATTTGAATTTTTTTTAAAAAAAAACTAAGTCGTTCTCCACAATATACCCAAACATTATAAATACGTCATGAAACATTTAAATAAATACATAAACTAAAAAATAAAAATTAAATATTAAAAAATATATATATTTGACAATTATTTTGTAATTACAAATGAATTAATGAAATATACAATGTTTAAACGTTATAATATATACAATTATTTTAAAGAAACAAGGCTCAATATCTACGGATCACCATTAAATTCAAATAAATCCCAAGCTAATTTATTTTTCCAATTTTGTATCCACGCTTGGTTGATTGCATCAACCTTTTATGCTACACTCAAAAATTCTATGTACTTGATAGCGAATATGCCGCAATCACCCCTACAATTACAAAATATTGTATTAGCACATCACCGTCTAATTAGAACGTAAGTTGTAAATTACAAAAAAATAATAATAAACACTTACGATATTTGCTGTTTCGTCGTGTCCCGCACGGTGACCAGTCTGTCATGCACAGTAATGTTCACTTGTCTAGTCAGCATGAGGACGATCACAGACATCGACTCCAGATTTTGCTCGAGCTGATCTGGTGTCAAGCATGAATGATCGGGGTCATACACATACAAAGTCGAGTCGGCGAATACAGTCTCCACTGCAATGTAGTGATGATTGACACACACCGGAATGTACAGATGTGTACAACCCTCCCATGGCTTTCCCCTGACACTCGGCCACATCCCTACGACCCACTCCATCATGTATATAGGCACCATGTACTCGCTACCGATAGCTTGGAACGTCCGGTACTCAATATCAACGGCACGTATAAACTCAGTGTTCAATATGAGTTAGCTAAGAATGTTGAACGATCTTGGATGTCGTTCAACTCGATCTCGTAGCAAATCCATGACGAAGTCAATGTGCTGCACCAGGAAACACCAATTAAAAAAAGGAGTTATTTAATTTCATAAATTCAAAACTCAAAAATATGTATACGTAATAAATAACAATATTACTACTTCACTTACATTATCGACGAGCCAAGCCCCCAAAGTGGTGATGTTATGAAACCACTTGTAAGCTTTCGAGATCGTCTTATGAGCAATCCTGCAACTGGCTCTGAAAAATAAGAAAAAAATTGTTAAGTAAAAATATAGATGTGTCAGCATCTGCGTAATGTACTAATCCTTAACGAATAATACAATACTTACCCGGGCATAATTGCTCTCCACTTCGTTTCGAAAGCTATCCACTTGGCGTGATCCACTTCTGAATAAATTCGGGTGCGTGCCATCGATGAACCTCCTCTTTTTCGCCTCCGCAGTAAACGGAGAAATGACGTACTGTGATGGTGCCCTCGGCCTCTTGCCGACCACGAGCTCCGGCACGTCAATAGTACGCGATACCCTCCCAATATCTGGCATTCCCTCACCTACCATTGGGACCACCTCTTTCATCCCCTCCGATACAAAAACTACGTTCGACGAGTCTGGTGTCTGAGATGGTACCCTCTCTGCCTCGGATACCCCTCCTCATTCGGCACCTCGGGTACCCCCTCCTCCTCCGTCACCCTCCGGACCTTCACCTCCGACACCCTCACGACCTCTCCCTTCGACACCCTTCCGACCTCCGCCTCCGGCACCCTCCCGACCGTCGCCTCGGGTACCTCCTCTTCCTCCGGCACACTCTCGACCTCCGTCTCTGGTACCCCCTCCTCCTCCTACACCCTCTCGATCTCTTCCTCCGGTACCCTCCCGACCTCCTCCTCCGTCTCTATTGGGGCCCGATCCTCCATCTCCATCTCCATATCTATCGAGTCATCGAGATATGAAGCTAATGCATCATCCGATGCCCACAAAGAGTCAACACACCCCGTCTGACCTCCTCAACCCTGATAACCACTGGCCCCTCCATCACCCCCTCTGTCCTCATAGTCGCCTGCCCCTCCGTCACCCCTCCATCCCGATAGCCACCTGTCTCTCCGTCACACCCTCCGTCCTGATAGCCGCCTGTCCCTCTGCCACCCCCTTTATCCCGATACTCGTTAGTCTCACGCAGGCCTACTATGTCGCCCCGTATCGCTACGACCTCAACATAAAGGTCTCCTAAACCGATCTGTACCATCCCAACATCACGTCGTAAGTCAGGTACTTTTCCTCGTAAGTCAGCTACGTCGCCTCTGATCTCCATCATAAGTCGGAACATATTATCGATGGAAGCACTCTGACTACATGCAGCTGATCCACGTGGGATGTGTTCGGACGACACGATCTGTCAACAACTCACGGATATAAGTCTAATCCTCTTCCTCGATCGATGGTGTCAGCTCAGTGAGGACTTCAAGCTGAAATATTGACATTTCATCGAATTACTGACCACGTATCCAGCTTCGAAAATGACATACAGTAGAAAGCGTAAATATTTAATACGTACCTCAGTTTCACGAGGTGTCTTTCTTCTTGGCATAGAAAGGGACACCGTGCGGTAGTAGTCTGCTCCGCTAGACTACCTTCTGCCTTTTCTCGGTCACATCGGGACGAAAGAAAATTTGATTACAATTTTGTAGAAAGCTTACAATAGAGAATTTGAATACATTGAAAGTAAATTGAACATTGATTGATGAAAACTGAACATTACAACTGACGAAAGCAGAAAATTACAATTGTTGGTGCAAGGGGCGGACACCAGTTAGTTTGAAAGATTTTTGAATGACTAATACCCCCTATAATAGCATTCTGAACAAAAACCTAAGTGACAGGAGTCGACGTGTAAAAGACGAGGAATCATACTAAACGTTTACTAATATCAGAGCTATTTTACAACTGAAATAACTATTACAATGAAAATAAAATTGCAACTCAAACTTGAAGTAATATTTACAATGTGTAGTCGAAATTGGGCAAACTGCGGCTACGATAGTGTCAAGCGGCTAAGTAAAGCTGCGGTCCTTGACATTCTCCCCCATTTGTTTTGGCGACGTCCTCGATGCCATCAATGCATGATATGCTTCAATTAATGGTTTGAAGGCTCTGAGATATTTTTCTCTTTTCCATGTATTCTCCTCGCTGCTGCATCCAATCCATTTGACCAAGTACTTTTAATGATCTTTACTAGAAGCTCGAGTGATTCGATGGTCAAGAATAGCTTCAGCAACTTTCTTTCCAGCTTTCTTCAGTTCAAACACAGGTCCCTTTGGCTCATTTCTAGATGCGTCCTCCTTATCCGCAAAGTATGGCTTCAACACACTAACATGAAAGACCTTGTGGATTTTACACCATGAAGGGAGTTCAACTCTGTATGCAACTCTTCCAATCCTCTTTACGATGGGTAATGGTCCAATGTATTTTGGCATCAATCTTGAGTCCTTCCCTCTTGTTGGTTTGTAAATATTTCTGTTGGGAAGCTTAACCATTACAGGATCTCCAACATTGAATTCAATGAAATGACGCTTTAGATCTGCAGCCTTTTTATACCCTTTTCGAGCTTTCTCAAGATAACTTCGAGCAATTTCAATATTTCGTTTCCACTCTTGAAAAAAGTTCTTTGCTTGAGGAGACTTGGTACTTCGTTTGATTTCCAATGTATGAGGGAGTAGCGGTTGCTGGCCAGTAACAATCTCGAAAGGACTTTTATTGGTAGAAGAGCTCTTTTGGGCATTGAAGCAAATTTGCCCTGCATCCAAAAATTTTATCCAGTTTTTCTGTGAAGTAGAGATAAAGTGTCGAAGATATTCTTCTAACATAGAATTGAAGAGCTCCGTCTGTCCGTCAGATTGTGGGTGAAAACTAGAACTCATGCTCAAAGTTGAACCAAGAAGTTTGAACAACTCAGTCCAAAATATGCCAGTGAAACGAGAATCTCGATCACTGACAATGTCCTTAGGCAGCCCCCAATATTTGACAATATGTTTGAAGAAGAGTTAAGCTATCTCTTCTGCGGATACATACTTAGGCGCTGCAATGAAAGTTGCATATTTTGATAGACGGTCCACCACGATGATGATAGTGCAAAAATCCTCAACTTTTGGCAACACAATAATGTAATCCATCGATACACTTTCGAATGGCCGGGTTGGGACGGAAAGGGGCTCCAGGAAACTCGTCTTTTTCTGATGATCTATCTTATCTTGCTGACAAATAAGACATATTTTTACATAGGTTACAATGTCGCCCTGCATTTGAGGCCAGTAGTATGCACGTTGCAATAGTGCACAAGTGCGTTCCTCTCCGCGATGCCATGCCTAAATCGTGTCATGGCATTCTGTAATTAGTGATCTCTTCAATTCTCCACCCTTAGGAACGTATAGGCGGTCTCTCTTTGTTTTCACTAGTTCTCCATTGAGCCAAAACTGTCGAGTTTTACCTTGTTTGATGAGGTCGACCAAATATTGAGTAGCCGGGTCCTTCTCCATGAGTGCCCGAATTTGGTCTCTATTGTTCGTAGAGACGGCTTTCCCTGAAAGAGTAGCTACGGAGCAAATGGCAGCCAAATGGGGCCGTCGACTGAGAGCATCAGCAACATGATTACTAGATCCGGGATGATACTTTAACATAAAATTGAACTCTGAAAGAAATTTCTGCCAACGAGTCTACTTGCTCGATAGTTTTGGTTGGGACATGAAGTGACTAACTACAGTGTTATCTGTCTTAGCAATAAATGAAGACCCAAGAAAATAGTGACACCAACAATTCCTTTTTATGTGCCGAGTAACGACATTCTGTTTGATTTAACCTCTGGCTCTCATATGCTACCGGACGTCCTTCTTGCATGAGGACTCCACCAAGTGCAAAATCTAAAACATCTGTATGAACTTCAAATGGTTTAGTCATATCCGGTAAGGCTAAAATCGGGTTCGTCCACATGGACTTCTTCAACCTTTCAAAAGTAGTTTGACATTGGGATGACCAATCTCAATCCTTATCCTTCTTTGTCAATTCTGTAAGTGGCAGTGCAATTTCTGAGTAGCCTTTCACAAATCTTCGATAATAATTACATAGCCCAAGAAATGAAAGTACATCATGTACGATTTTTTGTGATTGCCAATCTTGGATAGCTGTAACCTTCTTCGAATCCATACGGATTTTACTTGTTCAATGATGTGACCCAAGAAATTGATAGATGTCTGAGCAAATGAGCATTTAGACGGCTTGGCATAGAGTTCATTCTCCCGTAGCCAACTAAAAACTTGCCTCACATGTTGGATATGTTCCTCCAATATCTCACTGTAGATTACTATGTCATCCAATTACACCATGACAAAATCATCTAAGAACCCGTGAAGTACCTGATTCATCATAGTACAAAATGTTACTGGAGCGTTTGTCAAACCAAAAGGCATCACTTTAAATTCAAATGCTCTATATCTGGTTACCACCGTAGTCTTTGCTTCATCTCCCTCCTTGATCCAAACTTGCCAGTATCCGGACCTAAGATCAATTTTTGTGTAAGACTTTGCCCGACTCAATCGATCGAAGCAATTCGCAACCAGTGGGATAGGATAGCTATTCTTTACAGTAATCTTGTTCAAGGCTTGATAGTCACAGCACATTCTAAGAGAACCATGGGCCTTTTTCTGAAACAATACAGGAGCTCCGTATGGCGACTTCGCAGGCACAATGATTCCACTCTCCAACATTTCTCCTAATTACTTCCTAAGCTCTTCAAGCTCAAGCTGAGACATACGGTATGGTGCCCTGACGGGAGGTTTGGTGCCTGGAATAAGTTCAATCTCATGATCAATCGTCCTTCTTGGTGGTAATTTCTTTGATAATTCGTTCGGTATGATGTCCTCAAATTCCTGAATAAACTTTTTAACAGGTTTTGGAATAGGACCATTCGCCTCTTCGATCTACTCTAATAGAAGAGTACACAAAAAAGAGGGTTCATTTCTCTTAAAACCCTTACTAAATTGCATGGCTGAGATACTCTTCTCGTCCATCCTCCCAACCTATGTAGGGATGACACACGGCTTATTAACCATCATCATTAACGAATTAGAATATGGCAACACCGCTGTCTTAGTATCCCTAAGAAATTTCAATCCCAGAATAAGATTGAAATCATCCATCTGAACTGCAGACAAATTTGTCCTTCCTTCGAAAGGACCTGCTTTAATCAACACCAATTTTGCCACTTCAGCTATTGATTGAGCAGCGGAGTTGATTGCTTTGACTTTTTCACTATCCTTTTCCAGAAGAAGTCCGAGTCGCTCTACTTCGGTACATGCAAGGTAGTTGTGGGTAGCATCAGTATCCACCATAGCCCTGATTTGCTTCCTGTTGATTTTTACATCAACGTACATTAAGCCTTTGGCCCTACAAATTCGAGCCTTCGCTTCTTCCATCTTTGCCTCTTTCAATAGGACATCATCCGTTTCAGCAACCCGATGCGACAGTGTGTTGCACCGATGTGAAAATGCCCCAACTACATCCTCATCCTCTTCGAAGTCGGTCTCACTATGACAATTAGCCTACGGAGCCTCTTGATTTGAACTTGACCCGCCACTTGTTAGCTGACAATATGCTTTCACCATCCGCTTCTGAGGACACTCTGACACCCGATGAGGTCCTTCGCATAAAAAGCACTTTAATTTGGGAGTGGCATCAGTTTGGCCTTCCTTTGCTTTTCCTTTGTTCCAGTTGTTACTGTTACAGCCCTTAAAATTTCCTTGACGGCTACTATGGTAGTTTCCCTGAAAGTCACGGGTGCTTTGCTAGGCTCCTTCTTTATTCTGAGAGTAACGCTCTCCCCCATTAGGGTTCGAGTTGGGTCTGTAAGGTCTGTTATCACCTCCAATTGCTTGATTACTCCCCGAAGATCGATCTCTTCTAGATTTCGTTTGGTAGTCGCTCAAGCATTCGACGGCTCCCATGGCCGTGCTCAAATCAGTAATTTTCTGTCTTTGAAGTTCCGTGCGTGTCCACGGTTTCAACCCTTCCATAAAGGTGAAGAGCTTATCCTTTTCCGACATATCTCGAATATTCAGCATATGCCCTGAAAAGGATTTCACATACTCCCTGATAGAGCTTGTGTATTTCAGGTCTTAAAGTGCCCATCGAGGCCGATACTCGACATTTTTCAGGAAAAACTGCGATCTGATCGCTTCCTTGAGGAAATTCCAAGAATTTATTCGAACCATGTTGGCCTGAATGTCAGCATATTTGGTTCGCCACCATAGTTTTGCATCTCCACCTATATACTTGGTAGCTGTGGTTACCTTTCTAGCTTTGTCTTCAATCGAAGCTGCGAGAAAGTACCGTTCCATGTCAAACAAAAAGTTTTCGACTTCTTTTGCATCACGTGCCCCTCCATAGGTACATGGTTCAGGAATTCTGAGTTTAAAAGCATACTTAGGTACGGGAGCTTGCCCATTGCCCACCGCACGTTGGAGTATTCGGAATTGAGCTCTCAACGCTTCCATTTCATCCTGCAAATCAGGAATGATTGCAATAGCTTCAATCATTGCTGTCTAAGCCCTTTGGCTTTCATCCAGTTCGATGTGTAATCCAAGAATCTCTGATTCAGCCATCTCGACTTTTTCCTCTAGACCGTCCAAGGCATAGTACAACCTAGTAATTGTCTCATCAAGCGCATCCATGCGTTGTTTAGTAGTACCCTTCTTTTGAGGCTCTCCCACTTCAGTAGTGTGGGATGTAATTGGATCCATAACTTTCTTATCGAAGGTCGTGAGCCGCAGCTCTGATACCAACTTTCACAGGGTGCCTTTCTTCTTGGCACAGAAAGAGACACCGTGCGGCAGAAGTCTGCTCCGCTAGACTACCTTTCGCCTTTTCTCGGTCGCGTCAGGACGAAAGAAAATTTGATTACAATTGTGTAGAAAGCTTACAATAGAGAATTTGAATACATTGAACGTAAATTGAACGCTGATTGATGAAAACTGAACATTACAATTGACGAAAGCAGAAAATTACAATCGCTGCGCTTGAAAGATTTTTGAATGACTAATACCCCTTATAATAGCATTTTGAACAAAAACCTAAGTAACAGGAGTAGACGTTTAAAAGACGAGGAATCATACTAAACATTTACTAATATCAAAGCTATTTTACAATTGAAATAACTATTACAATGAAAAGAAAACTCAAACTTGAAGTAAGAAGTTGGGCAAACTGCGGCTGCGATACTGTTAAGGGGCTAAGTAAAGCTGTGGTCCTTAACACTCAGGATCATCTAGGATAAATGATAACTGTTTTACAAGGGGCTTGTCTTGTGCTCGCCAGCGGTGCATTCGAGGGATGCATGTATCCCCCTCTCCTCACATACCGACCAGCCAGGATGGAACAGTCTCGTAGGCCCATATCTGCAACAATTACGATTATTATATGTACAATTTAATAAAAAAAATTGATAACTCATTATGTTAAACATTTACCTGCAAAGCTCACGGCAGGCCATATACATCGTACTTACGCTCCGACCTATCTCCCCTAGGCATCGAATGCGTCCTCATGAAGACGCGTAAAGTATCGACAAAGCATCTCTCTCCGCACGGATAGCTGTTGAACATATCGATGTCATCAACAACTTGCAAATGAAAAACGTCAATCGACGTCTTCCTGTGATGACACCTGAGTACGCTCTCTAGTATAAACACCATCCCCAACTTCAACTTGTCGGACATCTAGTCGTATCTCCTGAATGCATCTCCTAATTGCGTCAGTGTCACTGTCGTGTGCCCATTAAAATAATCATTCAGCAGCCTCTTGTTTATCAAAATATTGGCCCTCACTGCCTCTTCGCGCTTACATCTCAATCCAGTAATGAGGGCAAACTCGAGTATAGAAAATGTAGCAACCTTGCCCCCCAGATCAAAGTGGAGGGCATCTCTGTCAACTAGCTTAAGCAGCTGACACAGTAATGAATCGATCAACTGTCTAGAGAAATGTACAGATCGCAGTGAATACAGGGGCCATAGGCAGGATCGACGTAATATCTCTGCGTGCTCATCGTCCAGTGAATCCAACACTGCTGTGAATTTGGTAAAATTATAGTTCGACGTAACTTTGCCAGGAACATGTCTCAAGGCTGCGTCCAAATGGTAATCCATCCTGTAAAATTTCAAATGTTAGAACATTTGAAATATAATGTCACAAAATTCAACTAATCGAACTGTAAGTAATATATGCATGAAATAACAGATAATAAAGAAAATGAATTAAAAATTACACAACAACTTATAAAAAAAGGGAAAAACTAATTTTTGTAAAATTATTTATTTCAAAGTTTATTTTAATCTATGTTAGAAATTTATTTCAATTCTTTATTCAATTAAATTTGATTATTTATATTTAATTACATATTTAAATAAATTATTTTGAAAGTTTATATTTCTTAGTTATTTAAATTGTTTATTTTTATTTAAATGTTCATTATTTATTTCAATTGTTTATCTAAATTATTTATTTCAATTGTTTATTTGTTTATTTAACATTTATTTTAATTGTTTATTGAATGCTTAATTTTAATTATTTATTATAATTGTATATTTAATTATTTTCTTTAAATTATTTATTGAACATTTAAACGTAAATATGTAATTATTTGTTATATTTTTCTTTAGTTGTTTATTCAATATTTATTTTAATTATTAATTGAATATTTAATTATTTATTTTAAATGTTAGATATTTATTTCAATTGTTTATCTACATTTTAATTACTTACTTTGATTATTTTTATTCAATTGTTTTTCATTTAATTGTTTCAATTGTTCATTTAAATTAGTTGATTTAATTACTTATATTCATCGATAATTTAAATTATTTATTGAACAAGAGTAAACGTAAATATTTCATTATTTATTTCAAATG